TGAACATAGGTGATAATTTTGCACTTCGCCCAATTCTCATCAAACCCTTCCTAGGTGATATTTTCAAGAAGACATGATTACTAACTTCGAAGGACAAAGGTCTTATCCTCCAATCGGCAAAACTCTTCTGTTGGCTCTGAGCTATGATCAGCCTCTTCCGAATAAGAGCCACTTTCTCGGTGCTCTCACGAACTAATTCGGATCCAAGCATGGGTGAATCCCCTACTTCGGTCTAGCACACAAGTGATCTACACGAACATCCATACAAGGCTTCAAATGGTGCCATCCCGATGTTAGCCTAATAACTATTATTGTAGTAACTCTGCTAGAGGCAAGTGTCTCTCCCAAACCTTTGAAGTCTAATACACATGTTCTCAACATATCTTCTAGAATTTGGATGGTATTGGTCTAGACTTGTCCAATCCAAAACATAGGAAGGATCGGGTTCATACTTATGAAGCATGGAAATGTGAAATACATTGTATATCCCGGAGAGTTGCAGTCGTAAGGCAAGACGGTAAGCTACTTTCCCCACCAGTTCTATAACATCAAAAGGGCCAATGAACATAGGTGATAATTTTGCACTTCACCCAATTCTCATCAAACTCTTCCTAGGTGATATTTTCAAGAAGACATGATTACTAACTTCGAAGGAAAAAGGTCTTATCCTCCGATCGACATAACTCTTTTGTCGGCTCTGAGCTATGATCAGCCTCTTCCGAATAAGAGCCACTTTCTCGTTGCTCTCACGAACTAATTCGGATCCAAGCATGGGTGAATCCTCTACTTCGGTCTAGCACACAAGTGATCTACACGAACATCCACACAAGGCTTCAAATGGTGCCATCCCGATGTTAGCCTAATAACTATTATTGTAGTCAAACTCTGCTAGAGGCAAGTGTCTCTCCCAAACCTTTGAAGTCTAATACACATGCTCTCAACATATCTTCTAGAATTTGGATGGTGCACTTGGATTATCCATTCGTTTGAGGGTGATAAGAGGTGCTAAAGGACAACTTCATATCCATAATGTCTTGCAAACTCGGCCACAACCGTGTGGTAAAGCAAGGGTCTCTATCTGAGATGATGCTCACTGGAACCCCGTGGAATCTCTCTAACATATAATTCAGCCAAATAATCAACCGAATCACCTATACATATAGCAAGAAAATGGATCAACTTAGTTAGTCAATCCACAACTACCCAAACCGCATGATTACCCGTTTGTGTTCTAGGAAGCTGGAAACAAAATCCATAGTGATATGCTCCCATTTCCACTCGACTATTGGTAAGGGTTACAATAACTCAGCTAGCTTTTGGTGTTCTGCTTTGACTTGTTGGCAGGTTAGACACTTAGATACAAACAATGCCACATCTCATTTCATCCCCCTCTACCAAAATTGATGGCTAACATCATGGTACATTTTTGTGCCTCCTGGATGCACCACAAGCCGTGAGTGGTGAAATTCCCGAAGGATTTCGTCTCTACAAGTTTTTGGCACAAAGAGGCAGTCTAGATACCGAATACTAGCATCCAAATATACCCTCGAACCTTTCTCTTTCTTTCTTTGGGATATTTTCCCTTGGATTACTTCCACTTCTGAATCACTCTATTATGGTTCTATAACTCGTGTTATGAGCTTTGGTTGTGCAAGGATAGTAAACAAGGTGGCATATTTAGGAGACTCACTACAGTGCAAGTCAAATTCGCTTAAGTCACCTAACATCTCCCATTCCCTCATGGCAAGGCTAGTAATAGTGCTCACGGATTTTCTACTTAAGGCATCGGCCACAATATTGGCCTTTCCCAGATGATAGTTCAATTCAAAAGCGTAGTCTTCTATAAACTCCATCCAAGATATCAACCTGTTTCACGACGCCCAAGGATTTCCAAATGGAAAAAGTATTGATCAAATGCCTTTCCAAAAGGACTTCGATGAGTGCAGTGAACAGAAGTTGTATCCAAGAAGTTCGATCTCATACCTACATAACCACATAAACACCTAATCATAACAATTAATATTTCTTTCTGGCATAAGAAACCCATTATGGCACAAAGCCATAACCTACGAACTCAAGGTATTCAAATTCAGTTAGCTCTGAGACCAATTTGTAACTCCCCCAAAATAATTTCAACTAGACGTCAAATACAACATGCACAATATACCAAGATAATTATAATATCAATTCTAAAAGCTCTCTTTCTCATTGAACTATAGATTAATAGTTACAAATTTTAGTATGAATCCTTACAGTTCAACAAGTTAAAGGAAGTTATAACAAATGCCTCACGGCTTACAAGTTTCTAGATCAAAGTTTTCAAAGAACAAAAGGACTCTTAGTCCCAAAGAAAGTAAATACATTTGAAGCATTGTGTTCCATATATATCATGTCTTTAATAAAAACAAAAGTTTGAATCTCTTCTAATTCATTGGGGTAGTTATTGCTCTCCGAGTCCTGAAAGTTGTTAGATAGGAATAACCAATTGCCTAATCGAGAATATATTTAACCAAGTATGTGAACATTTGATTTAAAATATGCATGATCATAACCAATACCCAAGGATACTAATTTTATAGTTTTATAGAACAAAGTACAACCTTACATTTAATTCCACATTTCTTTGTCCCCGCATAGAATGCCAATGGGGACCTCAACTCTTCCACATTTGTTGTTCTCACACGACCAGGCATGTGGACATCTCAAAACATCCTCACATTTGTCATCCTCACACGACCTGGCAAGTGGACACCTCAATTTCCTTGCGCGGGTAAAGCCATAACACACAACAATCAACATTCCAAAACTCAATTTTTATCACAACACAAAGAATCCCAACACCCTTCTAATTTACCCATCCATTTCTCTCCATTATCAATCATAATCCATGAACAACATTTAGGGTTTCACAATAATTTTAGGGCTTTCTATTTCATGTCTTTATTTTCCTTTATTTATGCTTTCTACACTATCTTTCATTCGTAGATACTCAAATCTTTCACCAATTTTAGTCAAAGCTCACTATTACCATTAATGTCCATATGTGTATATATCTATCACCCATTCCAAATCATACATTCATACCAAAAAATTAACACATACTTAAACCAAAACATAGACATACAAGGATAAAGATATTCCTACCTCAAAAGTTGTGAGAGGAGAGATGAAAACCCAAAGATGAACCTCTACGATAACAAGATCCAATCGGTCTAAAATGTAGCTCTTGATGAGATAAACAACTTTAATGAAGAAGCAATGATGGATTCTAGCTAAAAATAGATAAAATCTAGTGTTTAGGAGCTAGGGTTTTCGAAAGAGGGGTTTAGAGAGTGAATAAGAGTGAAAAACTGAATCCAAAAAGTGTTTAGATTGAAATTTAAAATTGTTGTCCCGAAAAGACCGCTCGAGCAAACTTTTGCTCAAGCAATGCACACAAAACAAGCATACTTCTCGATCAATAAACGCAAGGTCTTAAAATTTTTGTAGAGCTACAGTGAAACTATAGGAAACTTGATATCTCTACTCGAGCGACCACTCTACCGCTCGAGCGGTCTCGCCTATAAACGAGAAAGATACTGGGAGCTCTGCTTATCTGCTCGAGCGACTAATTGACCACTCAAGCGGTCACTCAAAACTGGTTATTACATCATTCTTATGTGTTCAATTTGGTTTTAGTTCTCATTCTTTTCTGTGGTGCTTATTGATTTGTGGAAGGAAGCTTTAGTGGCTTTGTTTTATGGAATTGTCGTTTGCCCATATGGCAGAATTTTATGGAATCTTGTAGATGAGAAATAAACATAATATTTACTATTGTAACATAGCAATTCTCTATATCAATGCTATAAACATGTGTCATATGAAAAAAATTTAGTCATTAATGAATTCATTTAAGACCTCTTATAATGACTATAAATAAAGTAACTTGTGAAACAACTTGAGCTTTAATATGAAATTTCAAACCTCAAACATGAGGAACAAGATGAAATGTTAGACCTCAAAACTATAAAGATGTTGCTTTAAACTTTAGTAATTTGAACTCCCTAATTCCTTCAAATCAAGTAATCGCTCTAGTATGCAGATAGTATAGGCTCCCAAAACCATTTAAGATCATCTATGACTACAAAAACCTAAACAATTTGAGAAAAATGTTTACATGATTAACAACTTTCAATGGTGTGCATTGCAGTCACACCAATCAAGTTTGTACTGACCATCTTAACTTCAAAGAGAAAGTAGTGGTGGGCGATTGAACTCACTAATATAAGACAAAGTTTTTATAAACTTGGGCAAAATCAACACCAAGTTCAGCTTCTGTTGATGTAGAAATAACTTCTAACATCCATGTGGCTGGGTTGAAATTAGCAATGCTCTATATCAATGCTAAACATGTGTTATATGAAAACTTTTTAAACGTGTTTTTTTGCTATAAATAAAATTACATAAACCAAAACATGAAAGGAAAAGTATGCTTTTACAATAATATATTCAATGAAAAAATTAAGGTAGAACAAAATGAGGCATAGAAGTAAATGGATGAATTGCCCAAATCTTTCTTTTCCCTCTTGGATTAACAGATGGTCCTCTCTGAACCCCCTTATCGAGTCCAATTCCAAGAGTTCGAATTGGGCTGAAGATTGAGCTCAATGTTGTATTTTGATGGGAAAAGTGGGATAGGACTAGCGCAATTGAGAGGATTGTGCTTCGATTGTTTTATTGAAAGACGCCTTACTTCAAAATTGCTTTGTTAATACTGAACATATGCATATCAGTGTCGAGGAATCGCTTGGTATTTTTTTTTATATACATTTGCACAAAATGACCGGCATAGGCTACTGGCCGATAGATTTCAACACTCCATTAAAACTATTTGTCGGCACATCAAAATCATTATGTGGGTACTATGCACGCTTGTAGCAACGGTTATCAAACCACGGAACCAATAGGATATACCGGCAAACATTTTAAATGATAGGAGGTTTTTTTCCCTAGTTCAAGGTATGACTATACGTTTGTCCTGTAAATTTGCAATAATAGTAACGAAAATTTTTTTTGTTATGTTTTCAAAGTAATATCTACGTTTGTTTTGCGTTTAATGTAAAACTAATAATATGATGTAGAATTGTGTCGGTGCTATCGATGACACATTGGTGGATGCGTGGGTCGTTGTCTCAAGGCAGAATACATTTCGTGGTCGCAAAGCCACGGTATCACAAAATGTATTCGCAGCTTACGACTTCGACATGTTGTTCACATTTATCAATTCTGGATGGGAAGGAAGCACCCACGACAACACAATTTTAGTTGACTCAATTACAAGAGATAATATACATTTCCTACACCCACCCCATGGTGAGTGTTACCAAATAACACACTGTACTTTTTTAAAATATGATATTTGTGTATATGTATTTGATAGAGCATTACAAACATTATTTATATGTAGGCAAGCATTATTTAGTGGATGCCTAGTTCACGAACATGCCTGGATTTCTTGTCCCATTTCGTTCACAATGCTATCACTTGCAAGAGTTTCATGGCCATCATTATTCTAGACCTAATGAGTTGGTTAACCATCGACATTCGTCATTACGGAATGTCATAGAAAGAACATTTGGGGTTCTCAAGAAATGCTTTCTAATATTGCAGTCCATGCCAAATTACAAGTCAACATGAAAAGGACCCCTCGTGATTGCATGTTGTGTAGTGATAATTGGATCCATTGGCATGCAGCTATGGACCCATTCTTCATGGAAGCTGATAATGAAATGGCAGCTGAAGCGGTAGTAGATGGGTTTGTTGGATGCCAAGCTGAGTATGTTGACATGTCACAACACGGATCAACGTACCAATCGAACTTGAGGGATGCAATTGCTACTACTATGTGGGAAAGTCATGTCGGTCATGGGTAGATTTCTGATGTCAAGAAATAATGTGAAGAGATTTGTGATGTGAAGAAATAATGTGAAGAAAAAATCTTTGTTAGTATTGTATGTACAAGTTTATTTCTTTTATTTGTAATGTGTGAAATGCAATTGCAATTTGTGGCATAATTTAAAAAGTGTTTTTTTTTTCCTCATATATAGAAGGATGCAATTGCTACTACTATGTGGGAAAGTCATGTCGGTCATGGGTAGATTTGTGATGTGAAGAAATAATGTGAAGAGATTTGTGATGTGAAGAAATAATGTGAAGAAAAAATCTTTGTTAGTATTGTATGTACAAGTTTATTTCTTTTATTTATAATGTGTGAAATGCAATTGCAATTTGTGGCATAATTTAAAAAGTGTTTTTTTTTTCCTCATATATAGTTCTCCATTTTTTAAGTGTTCATGGGAGACAAATTGAACAAAGTCTGTTCTTCAACAAATTGTACAAAGTCAATTCTTCAACAAATCGAAACAAATGTTAGCATTTTTTTTAATTTTTTTTTGTTGATGGGTGAAGTGGTACAACGTAATTTTTGTTTTTCGGTATCAGTGGACATTTGAATTTTTTTAAAAAAAATACAAAACACAAATATATCCACTGTAGTGCACATTAAAATAAATAAATTAATAATTTTAGTTTGACACACATCATAATTGAATTTATGGGTTATATTTTAGATGTTTGTACTAAGTTTATAGATGTTTTTCCATCTACCTAAGTGTCACGACCCAAACCCGCTCCTATAGGTTTAGTATCGTAATCGACCAGTAATCCTGGAATTACTGAAGGCCTCTGAGATAGATTAACATAATATTAGGGGCTAGCGAAAGAAAATAAGAAATATACAACGTCCATTGAGCTGTGTAGCCTTATATGAGACAAAAAATTTTAAACTTTATATACATACATTTACACATCATCATATATATAGGCTAGACAAAAAGGGACTTAGCCCTAAATACAAAATAAACAAAAACACTGGTTAAACCAAAACCAAAAAACAAAACTTGAACTTAATGCGCATAGCCATAACCACTTGATATGTCCGAAGCCTTCACGGGAGGTACATAGGTTGACTGACAAAACAGAGTCTAGGTAGAAGTTCTAGGCCTAGTCACGCACCTGATCACCTACAAACATAAATATAAATAGTGAGCTGGAGCCTAGTGAATAATAACAGAGTAAAATTTTCAATGAATGATATCCATAACAGATTCAGAAATCAGATTTCAAATCCCTTATCAAATTAGAAACATAGTCATGTTCGTATTTGTATCAGAAACAATCATATTTATAGCGATCCCGGTTGTCCCTTTACTATTCTGTTGTATTTTGGACTCGGTTCCGTGATGTTGGTAGTGGTACACCTTGTTGTCATCCTTTAATTCCACTTGATTGAGTTTTAGGATGTATGGGGCAGAGTTGTTACAGGTTGGTTAGGCTTTGGTTTCAATTCTTTGTTGCCCAGTTTTTAGGAGGTCCGCTCGAGCGGGTCTTCTTGCGCTCGAGCGGAGATTACGTGCTCCCAGTTTGTCGTGTCCCTGCAAAACTTCTGCAGGTGTGATTTTTATGCTCGAGCAAGTTTCTTTACGCTCGAGCGGTTGCGCTCGAGCGGGTACTTTGGCGCTTGAGCGGGTAGTGCCTTTGGGTGTAAGTTCTGGGAGGGGAAAATCTACGCTCGAGCGGACTGGTTTTCGCGCTCGAGCGGATTTACTTTATTCTTGTGACTTGGCACTCGAGCGGGCCTTTTTGCGCTCGAGCGGACCTAGTTTTTGTTCTTGACGCTCGAGCGTTGTGTTTTCCGCTCGAGCGGGAATGTCGTATATCAGTTGGCTGTGGGGCAGTTTTAAATCACTTTTTCTCATTCTTTCTCTCTCTTACTTTTCCGAAAAAGCCATTAGAGAGCACCTCACTCTAAAACTCAAACTTCTCTCTAAGTATTGATCTAGTAGGAGTTGTTTCCTCACCTTTGGCCTTTGTAAAAGTTGGGTTGATCGTCGAGGGCTACATTTTAA